TCTCCTGCGCAGTTGGCTAGTCTCATTGAGATTGGCCGCCGTGGCCGGTGACAGTAGAGGCCGAATCTATAGTTTTTAGAATTTTTGTCTGTCTGTTTGGGAACGCATTGCGAGAAAAGCACTGGACTGATTTTGATGAAATTTGGTATTATTATAGTTGGTTATCTGGGTCAACATATAGGATACTTTTTACAGCGGGAAAATATCTCATCTCAGATATCTATACTAAAAGTTAACGATAAATATGAGATTTGACAAGAGACCTGAATTCCAAGGCCTCTAGTAAAATTGAAAATTCTAAGTAGTTCAATAGAATCAATATTGTTCTTAAGAGCTTTATTTTTATAGGTTTTTTAATCTACAATTATTATTGCCATACCAAAAAAAACTCCTGCATATTATATATTATAATTTAACCAATTGTTATAAAAAAATAAAAAATAAAATTACAAAAAAAAAGAGGTGAAATAAATAAAAATACCATATTAATAATAGATTATTTATTTATAATAATAAAAACGTCCAAAACAGCCCGCGCAGAGCCCTCACTGTACAATATACAACAACACCGTGTTCAAACTAAATGTCACTTCAACCCATACTTTTTTCTATATAAAATAAAAAAAAGAACAAAAAAAAAACTGGAAAATTGACTAAATAAAAAATAAACATTCGTTTTACTTTTTTAATGTGCCGCCATTTTAATTAGTTATGGTTAATCATAGACAGAGAGTGGACAGTGTTTCTTTTCTTAAAGGCGCGACAGAGACAAAACGAATAGTGCGGCCAGATGTCTTCTGTATTAATATAAAATACGATTAATGAAGATAGATATTTATAAAATATTTATTTATATTCCATTATTATAATATTATAATTTTTAATAAATTGTAATATTTTTTTACATTCCATTTATAAATTCAAATTGAAATAAAAAACAAGTACCTATTGGCCGCACGTTCGCTTTCTCTCTTTCTAGAGATGGTCACTATCTTGAGAATATTGCTCAGTCCATACTCTATGTCTATAATGTCACTTGTACAATATGTAAGAGACAAAATTATCCCTCATGTATACATATAAGTCGAATCTGTACATTAAATATTTTTTGGAAAATCTTATTGAAATAAACATTATTATCGATACAGAGGCCGAATCTATAGGTTTTAGAATTTTTGTCTGTCTGTCTGTCTGTCTGTTACCGCACCACAGAAAAGATGAAATTTGGTATAGTGATAGTTGATTATCCAGGTCAACATATAGAATACTTTTTACCGCGGGAAAATATCTAATTTCTGAGAAAAAGTACAAAAACTGCAATGTAAGAGTATACTAATATGTAAAACCTAAGAATTTGGTTTTTGGTCATCTGGCAATGCTAGTAAAATATAAAACTAATAGAATTGACATTTAAAAGTCAGTAATTATGTATTGAATGAAAACTCTTTCGATAAATTGAATGGACAAAAATGTAATTCACTGAGATGACGAGTTGAGAAGAGTTGGTGGTCGAAATAGCTGAAAAAAAAGTTAATTATATGTTCGAAAATGATTTGGAGATTCAATTTAATTCAATTTTCTTGTTAATTGCTTCAAAACATGGCAGATTTGAGATACTTTCTAACTTACTTGAAGCAAAAAATGAATAAAGCTCCAACATATAGAATTTATATTATATAGTTACGTAAGTATAAGAGATAACTTCATAAGTAATAGCTTGAAAAAAGGTATATTAAAAAAGGTTTTTTTTAATTAAAAAAGAAACAAAACTTTGCTGCAATATTATGTGTCATTTAAGCAGAAAAAAAAGATTATATGTAATTATTTCTATAGAAATAAGTATGGGACAAATTTTCATAATTATTTTCAAAGCTGTGACACAAAATGTCGAATAACTCAAACATGCCAATAAGATCCCAAAAAAAGCCATACAACACTATATTTATTTTAGGCAGAAATTTCAGAGTTTAAATAAAAATTATAATTAAATTATAAAAATAATAATTCAATTTCACTCTCCAATATGATTTGACAGACATTGACACTTTGAGGAGGTCGCATGACATCTGTCAATGTCAACATGACAGCCATGGCGGTGTAAATTTATAAACAACTAAATGTTAAATATTTTTATTCTGTCAATTAATAAATAAATAACCATTAGAAGCAAAAAAAAAATACATTTAACATAAACTGTTTAAAATAAAAATGTTGTCTTGTTCATTTCCAATTTTATAATCAGCCCTTTTTTTTAACGTCCTACTGCTGGGCGTGGGCCTCCCTTCAGTATGAGGGGGATCAGGCCATAGTCCACCACGCTGGCCGAGTGCGGGCGGACTGAGCATGTTGGCAGACAACTTGCTAGGTTCTCTCAGATATGCAGATTTCCTCACGATGTCGTGACGAAAGAAATTATTTATTATATAACGCTGATTTAAAGAATTAAATAAAAAAAATCACATCGCCGTCACTTTTTTAATTAAACTGTCAAAAATATATCATATTAACCTTTCACCCCACAGTCAATAAAAGAAGAAGAAAAAATTTACTTTCACACAACGTTTCGACTTTCGAGTCCGTACAATAAAGTTAATAATACATAAAAAAATATGTAAATTATATCAAAACCGATCTACGATAATAAACTAAAATCTAAATAACTTAAAAAAAACTAACAATAACTACACCCATCCCTCAAAAATATGACAAATTCGTACAGAAAAAAATAATATTGACATACATAATTCTCTATGATACTTGAAAAAAGCACGAATAAACCGGTCACGTCAAATGAGTGACATGACGAAATAGCATTTTAATTATTATGTCATGACATTTTTGAATTGAATCAACAATTATTTCCGATACATAAAGAATGTGACGTCATATAATAAACATGCATGACATAATAAGTTAAACGTCAGATTTTTGACGTAGTCATTATTATGACATGACATATTTCGTTAATGACGTAACAAATATGTAGTAACGGTATTTTTTTTATAATCTTCATATCTTAAGTGTCATAGCGAATAAAAGTACCGATTGAAAAAAAAAGTTGTCATATGTATAAATGAATAGCGATGGTTATTTTTTTTTAATTATAATTAGACATCAAATTGAACGGATGAACAGATTTAGATGACATTTGGCACAATAATATTTTTTTTAATACGATACAAAGTAGTTCGTAAAACCTCCTCTTTAACTAATTACAATATATGAAATAATTATTTAGACTTGTCGATTTTTACATTTGCACGCATATTTTTTTTGAAATACGCAAAGTCATAAACATATTTCGGTGTCTAGGTACCATAATAAAAAAAAATGTATAAAATCAAATATAAAAAAATTAACACTTATTCGTTTTAAGCAAATATATTAAATAAGTAAAATAAAGCTACCACCACACCCGCGTTTGACGCAAATTATATTTTGTGCCTAGATGTGACAACGCTTTTATATTGAATGGACTTAGCCATTTTGTTTGTATGTCTCATACAAAAAAAAGAATAAATTAAAATACTATTATATATTTATTGAATTTTGTTATCATAAGGTAAAAGATATATTACTGACGCTTAAAACAATTATTAAAAAAAAACAATATTAAAAAAAAAAATCACATACATCTTATTTTCGATTAAATTAAGATATACTTGTTTGTATTAGATATATATTTTTATTATTACATTAAATTTTTGTATGAATCATACAAATGTCTATCCCAATTTGGTTAAAATAAGAATTTGATTTTTTTTATATAAAAAATAGCAAAATATATAAAAACTTTGTCGCAAATACAACCGCCGCCATTTTGATGTTCGCCATTTTTTAAAGTATCGACACAAAATGAAAGTTATACATATGAAGAAGAAGCATATAAAAACTAATTTATATGGAAATATTTTTTGTGGTTGCTTTCGAATCTTTTATACATATATACATTCATTAGACGCCGCTACTTTAATTAAATAAAAATAAGTCTGCTTCCATAAAAAAATGACCAATAAACTAAAATTTTAACGTTTTACTTTGTCATGTTTTTTAGGTTTTTTATTTTTTAATATTTATTCGTATAAGTGATTTTTTTCAGCCAGCCATCTTACTATTTACCTTATGAATAACAAAATAAAAAAATCCTAATTCACTATCCCAATACTCTATTATGTTCTATTGCTTGAGAATACTCTTTTTTAGGGCAAATATAAAAAAAATATCCATTATATAATATAAGAGCCTATAATATCCCTACATTGGATAAATAAAATAGATAAAAAATTGTTTAATTTTCTAAATACCCGACTAAAACTCTAAGGCCCCCTTGTGAGGGGGCCCTCATAATGAATGTATTAAAAAATATAAATTATAATCAAATTAAAAACAAATTATAATCAAATTTTGAACTCAGAACAGAGAAAAAACAATTTCACTTATTCAGAGCTCTTCAGGCCCCTTTGTCGCGGGGGGCCTTGCATAGGCTATGTCACATTAACGTCTGTTCGCTCAGCGGCTTTTAAAACCACGCAGCGTTTTTTTTTTCATTAAAAACATGCCATTCCAAAAGACATTATAATCGACTAATAGTATTGTCCATATTAAAACCACACAAGGAACAATATTGCAACTCGATTAAAATAAAAACATCAAATTTTCCCTAAAAATCCTCATTCGAAATTACAAAAACGAGCTATCATTTTGTTCCTCGCATATTAAAGTTGCAAAGCAAAAAAAAAAAATTTAACACCCTTACAACCATACAAGCTGGGAACAATATTGCAACTCGATAAACATAAAAAAATCAACAATTTTACCTAAATAATCAATCAAAATTACTAAAACGAGTTACAATTTTGTTCCTCGCATATTATTGCGTTTTATATATATTTCTATAAGATTGAAACGAACGAACAGACAGTACAAGCGTCAGCGTGGTCAATGCAATCTGGTATGTAATATATATTTATGTATACATATATATATAAAATAATATTTCATCTGTCCGCTTGCGGCGCGGGCGGGAAGGTCGCCTCGCGAGGGGACACGTTGTGTTTGTGGTTTTTAGTATCGTAATGGAGCAGACAGCCCACCGCTCCGAAGTAACTGGAATTAAAAAAAAAAATAATTAAAGAGTGCGTGTATGAATGTGTACACGCGCAAGAAGTAAAACTTCTGTAGGTTATCGGTACTCTTTGTGAAATTCAATTTATGTTTTAAATAATTAGGATAGGGTGAGATACTAAAAGATAACGCATATTACGCATATTACAATCATATATTTATAGAATATCATTTAAGGAAAGAATATAAATATTATATATCATTTGTCAAACAATAACAACGGTTACCATGGCAACGAACGTCCGTACATTTTCTCCCCGAGTCCCTATATCTAAGAAACCATTGACATGAAACAAACACTAAATGTCAATTGAAGCTTACCACAATATAGTAGTGACCCTACTCGCTGTGCCAGCGGTCGCGGGTTCGAGTTCCGCTGGAGGACCTTCAATTGTGTGACGAGCACAAATGGTTGTACTCCATAGGTGTTTATATATATATATATATATATATATATATATATATATATATATATATAATATGTATGTATTTAAAGTTATATATGTGTAGTGTATCAACTATCTGGTATCCATAACACAAGCCTCGTAGCTTACCATGATAGATGGTGCTGTGTGCTAATGTCCCAACATATTTAATTTAAAATAAATCCCATGGGATCCCACTCACCCCTCATGCTCCAGGAACAAGGCCTTCAGCGCCCCGCGGGACCAGTACGACATGGCGTAGGACAGCAGCTTCATGGATAGCGGGTTCACTCGCAGAAAGTTGCCGCAGAACACCACCTGTAGTAGATAAGAAAAAAAATATTAAAAAAAAAACCGAATTGTAACTATAATACCTTTTAGGATTATTTCGCGGATTTATTTTGATTTTTGGTTCCCGACGTTTCGAATGCTTTACAGCAGCCATGGTCACGGGAGAGACTGAGGTGTTAGATGTCTCTAAGGTATTATATAGTTGTAACAGAAAAATGAATAATGGCATAAAAGTATATTAAACAATATTTGTTAATTTTAATTTTAAACATTGAGAACATGGAGATATTATTAATTGAATTTTAGCTGTTACTATTATAATTATTACAATTAAAAAAAAAACTTTATTAGGACATAATCCGAAAAGATAGTTTTATTTAAAATATGAAATATTCGCGTAAATCTAAAAGTATTATAGATCTATAAGCATGATGGTTTGTACAAGAGTGTGTTTTTTTAAATGTTTATTTTACTCACGACTAAACGTCGCTTCGATCGGATTCGTCCCTAGGTTGAACCCTCATACAAACTTTCATCTCCATTTTCACCCCCATAAGGGATGATATCCGGGATAAAAACTATACTATGTCATCCCCAGGATCTTAAACTATCTTCTTACCAAATTTCATTTAAATCGATTCACTAGTTCCAGATGTTACTTCTATCTTTTTATTCCGAAAATTATCCCTTAGGGGGGAGTGAAAACGGGGATGAAAGTTTGTATGAGGAATCGACCCGAGCAAAGCAAAGGTGACTCGCTAGTATAAACATAGTGTGCAGAACAACTCACCCTCTCGAGGCGCTCGTTGGAGGCGCAGAGTCTGGCGATGGAGCCGATGTTGTTGGTGATGGTGACGAGCGTGGCGCGCGCCAGGTCGGCGCGGGACACGCGCGCGCGGCGCTCCGCCGAGCACATGTGGCCGAAGCTGGAATAGAATAACTATTAGAATACTAATAATAATGTCCACTCGACGGCTGTCGATCTCACTGAAACTAGCTATCCGTAGAAGATATTATATAATACTAGTATAGCCCGCGGGTTCGCTCGCGCTAGTACTACAAAAAAAATCTGTATAAAAAAAGTAGGTTTCATCTAAACTTTCATCCCCTATTTTACCCACTTGTAAGATGTATTTCGAAAAATGCTAAAACGTGTATTTATTTAATTTTATTGAAGAGCATTCTGAAAAATAATTGTTTTACGTTACGTTTTCGTTCTAAAAAATTTTTTTTGTATATAATATTATAATATATTTTTCCGCGTGTGAATGAGATCACCTGTCGCAAAAAAACCTCCGTTTCGACGTGAAAGAAAGACAAACAAAAACACAAACAAACAAACACACTACCACATTTATAATATTAGTATGGATAATTTATACACAAGTGCGTTCTGTATTCCTGTCACTCACACATTTCGGCGGAACGACACGAGACACGACCGATGAGGTCAGTCGGAGGCACGGGGGTAATATACCGAAACTTAGCAATCAACCCGGGACTCGAACCCAAAATCTAACACCCCTGGATATGCAGCTGTACATGCTAGTCACCAAAATCAGTCCAGCCATTACAGAGATTATCCAAAACAAACAGGCAGACAAAACAAAAATGTTAAAAATTATAATTCCTTATAAGTACCGTAAATAATTCCACCGTATCGAAAATCGAACCCCGACTCACCTGCTAGCCACCAGATCGCCTCGCAGGCCGAACCTCTCGTAGTCCCCTCCATATATATCCTTGACCAGCTTGTCCACCGAGGTGTTGTCTCCAGCAGCGGCCAGCGCGATGGCCTCCTCGAAGCTGCTGCAGCCGGCCAGCAGGCAGCACAGACCAAGGAAGGTCCCTCCACCGAGGCTGAAGAGATACAAGGACTTAATAAATAAAATTAAAAATAATATTCAAGTATATATAAATTTACCAACGTATTGCCCTTGTTCCGCTCGAGTTCGCCTTTAGTTACTGTTAAAATGCATTCTTAAGTTTAAATGTGACTAATTTGAGGGGTATTTGCTCTTTGATAATAGATGGCGCTGGTAGTCAATTAATCGTTATATTTAAAACCAGCATTGCCCGCGGCTCCGCCCGCGTTCAGATGACCAAAAACCAAATTCTTAGGTTTTATATATTAGTATACTCTTACAATGTAGTTTTTGTATTTTTCTCAGAAATGAGATATTTTCCCGCGGTAAAAAGTATCCTACATATTGACCCGGATAGCTATCATCATACAAAATTTCATCAAAATCTGTCCAGTGGTTTTCTCGTGATGCGGTAACAGACAGACAGACAGACAGACAGACAAAAATTCTAAAAACTATAGATTCGGACTCTGTATCGATAATAATGTCTATTTCAATTAGAATTTCCAAAAAATATTTAATGTACAGATTCGACTTAGTTACAATTTTATTATATGTATAGATAATCAAACGATAGCGCGATTTAATTGACTACCAGCGCCATCTATTATCAAAGAGCAAGAACCCCTCAAATTAAACATTACATTTAAACTAAACAAAAGCGTTTTAACAGTTACTAAAAAAATGGGAGGTGATGGTAGGAGGGTGAAAAATACTTTAGGACCTATTCTCATAAATAAACCTATCAAATATACAAAAAAAAAATGCTATTAAAATCGGTCGAGCCGTTTCGGAGGAGTGCGAACACAAACACCGTGACACGAGATATTTATATATTAGATTGAAATTGTTTAAAATTAAAATAAATGAATATTGTAAGGTACTTTGGTGCCATTTTTGTATTTTTGAAATCATTGTGTAATTTAGTGGGTAGGCATTGTCTGTAACAACTATATAATACCTTTGAGACGTCTAAAACCTTAGTCTCTCCCGTGACCATGTGCGCTGTAAAGCATTCGAAACGTCGCGTCGGGAACAAAAAATCAAACTAAATCCCCGAAAAAAACCGAAAAGATAGTTTTATTTAGAATGTCAAATATATGCTTAAATCTAAGTTTTAAATAATTAATAATTATATATTCTTAAAATAACCCGACCAATATAAAAAGACCTCGAACCAGTTACAACTTGCATACAGTGAACAGCACAACTATTTTGGTAGTAGGTATCAAAAAGTATAATCTACAATATTGGAGCCTATCTCTTCGTTCTTCATGACAGCCTAGTATCAAAATACAACTAACAACAAAAAATATAAACCGACCAAATCAAGAAGACCTCCGATCACTATGACAGTCCATACAAACAAGATCTCAACCAACCTGGTACCGCTAACTCTGTAGTAGTCGTTGGGCGCGTTCACCACCAACATGGAGACGCCACTGCCAATGTTCACCAGCAGGAAGGGATACGGGTTCGAGAAGTCGAAGGGTTTGCGCACGTACTGGCTTAGTGCGGGTTCGAGGTAGGGCGGCTGGAAGGAGGAAAAAAATAATAAACATTTCTGGCAATCTAGGGTAATTAATATAGCCTCTTATTAGTGAAAATATTTTCAAAACCTACTCAGTAGTCAGTAGTTTCCTACCCAAAATTATCCCCTATATATATAAAAAAAGACATATATATATATATATATATATATATATATATATATATATATATATATGTATAATTTTACAATAATGTATGGAAGTCGGTTCGATTTGTTGACATTTATGATTACTGCTCCGCTCCCTTGGGTAGTAGCATGATGATATATATCTTACAGCCTTCCTCAATGAACGGGCTATCTAATGCAAAAAGATTTTTTTCAAATCGGATTAGTAGTTCCTGAGATTAGCATGTTCAAACAAACAAACAAACTTTGCCTCTTTATAATATAAATAGATAACCATAAAGGTTCATTAAATCGAACCCTACCAAATCATAAAAAAAAACGGTTAAACCAAAAATGAACAAACTATAATAAAACAAACTCACAGTATCCTTGCTGGTGGCACCGTTCTCTGGGGGAGCCCAATAGTAACACTCTTGAGGGTTCATTGAGTCCACGAAAAGAACACCAGCTATAAGCGCATCTAATTCGTCCAGTTTGGACAAACGCATGTTCACCTCCTGTGAAAAAAAAAACAAAATATTAACAAAAAAAAAATTTAAAAAAAAGTGCGTGTGTGTGTAAATCACACACGATAGAAGTGAAACTTCAGAACGAGAGAGTGAGATGAACATATATTGTCTATCAAGTGTAGGATCATTGTAAGGTTTATTTTTTTATTATATTTTACAAAGTTTAAAATTTATTTTACATTTTATTTGACATAAATATATACATTACATAATATTATTCAGTACTTAATTTTATTATTTTTCACTTCCTGTGTAATGTATTCTATCTCAAATAACAACGGTTACTATGGCAACATGGCAACGTATTCTATCTCATTCTCTCGCCGGCTTAATCCTATATGTGCTTGCCTCTTTTTAGTGTCACATTTTCGTTTCATCGAGTTTCAAATCACAACGATTCCAAAGAAGTTTCACTTCAAAAATCAAGATTAATTGTAATTTATATGACTTGTTAAAACGTATCAAACGAGCCCAAACTCGAACGTGTCATAAGTAGCCCTTAGAAGAGTTCCACTATCCTTCCACAAAGACACGTTTGACTCAGTTTGTAGTGACCCTACTAGCTGTGCCAACGCTCGTGGGTTCCAGTCCCGCTGGGGGCATTCACTTGTATGATTCATGAGCATGAACGTTTGTACTCTAGTCATGGGTGTTTATATTTATAATATGTATGTATTTAAAGTTATATATGTGTAGTGTATCAACTATCCGGTATCCATAACACAGGCCTCGTAGCTTACCATGGAACTACATGGTGCTGTGTGTTAATGTCCCAACATATTTATTTATACCTTAATAAAATCCTCTTCAAACTTGAACGCTCCACCACCAGTCGCGTATATGGTGTTAACCAAGGCCGCCATACCCTTAGACCTGGCCAGCTGTAGGAACGCCCCCACTTCGCTCGTCGGGAACCTGATGAAATGGAGTGTGCCTCGTCTTCCACGAATCGTTACGTTTTCCATCTGGAATTAGGTAAAACATTCTACTATTATATAAATGCGAATGTTTGTATGTGATGTTTGTTAGTCTTTCACACTGGACGGCTGGACCGATTTAGATGGAATTTAGTACACAGATAGATTTTGACCCCAAAGGTCACTGTTAGACAACTAATAGGAAATATTCGTATGATTTAAATAAAGGTGATATATATTTTTTTATAATTTTTATTGATTTTATAGACTCAGAGAGTCAGAGTTTATCATAACAGAGTGATTAGCGGTCTTAGTCGCTACAAATTGAGTGATTTCTCTGTGTATATCATACTGTGACGTCACGCCGAGCACGCGAGATGGCGGGCGTTTAAAGTATCCGTATCGATATATTAATTTTAAAAATTTTCTTTATACTAAATTTGAGTTTTTTGGAGCTGGATATTTTTTTACAATTATATAACGATATTAGCTATTGTATGTATAAAAAATTAAAAATAAATATGCTTTACTTTAGTTATGACCCCGATTTGTAATATTATCTGTCGAACTTGATCTGACAGCATTAAACTGATATTATCTATGGTAATACAAAAAAAAAGGAAATAAATCAGCACTAGCAATGTAGTTATGTATATTACACACAAATGTGTGTGTGCGTGCGTGTGTGTGTGCGTGTGTGTGTGTGTGCGTGTGTGTGTGTGTGTATATTAGGGTGGTGTGAAAAAAAAATGTTTTTTTTTCTTAGCTTGGGGGTAGAATTTGTAGTTTATAATAAAATCCCCTTTTTTTTTAATAAAATATTTTACTTAACATTTTGAAGGCAGTATATGTTGTTTCATGCAAAATCTACTGAACGGATTTTGATGAAACTTTACAATAATATAGCTTATTAATCAGAGTAACAATATATATAAGTAATAGTAATAATTTAAAAATATATTGTAATACATAATTGAGCTACACGTGCAGAGTAATGCCCAAAAATACTTTTACTGGTACTTTTAGACACACATTCAGACAAAAAAAATAACAAATTCTCCAGCCTTATATATTAATATTTCTTAAATTAACAATTTAAATAAACTTATCTTTATACGACGTTATCTTTTGACGACACGTTTCGTTCAGTCTGTAGTGACCCTACTTGCTGTGACAGCGGTCGCGGGTTCGAGACCCGCTGGATTCATTTGTGTGATGAGTGAGTGTTTGTACTCCAGTCATGGGTGTTTATATTTGTAACATATATGTATCTAAAGTTATATATGTGTAGTGTATCAACTATCTGGTATCCATAACACAACCCTCGTAGCTTACTATGGAACTAGATGGTGCTGTGTGTTAATGTACTAACATATTTAGACTAATAAATAATTCTAAAGGAAGACTCCCGGGGCCATGATCGCTGTAAAGCACTCGAATAATCGAGAACCAAAAATTAGAATAAATCCACGAAAAAACAATGATATAATGAATAAAACATCATTCAATAAAGACAGTGTTATTTAAAACTAAACAAACCTATCCCACGGGAATCGCAAATTTTCCGGGGTAAAAAGTAGCCTATGTGTTATTCCAGCCTATAATCTATCTCAGTGCCAAATTTCCTCCAGATTCGTTCAGCCGTTCTGGCGTGAAAGAGTAACAAACATCCATACACACAAATTTTCACATTTATAATACCTATTAGTATAGAAGTTAAATATTCGCGTTAATGTAATGTATTAATTATTTCATCGAATGACGTCAATACTTAAATAGCTGTTAATTAAATATTATTACGTAAATATTCATATAACAACCTCGTACATATAATCAAAACAGTTTTCGACCCGATTGTAATACGGTGTTCAACTAAGCGTGTTTAGACAATAAAATTAACTCAAAATCGCTAGTATGTATATCTTATATCTTTAAACGAGCAATTCTTGCATCTATACATATAATAAAATTGTAACTAAGCCGAATGTGTTCATTAAATATTTTTTGGAAAATCTTATTGAAATAGACATTATTATCGATACAGAGTCCAAATCTATAGTTTTTAGAATTTTTGTCTGTCTGTCTGTTACCGCATCACGGGAAACCACTGGACAGATTTTGATGAAATTTGGTATGGTGATAGCTGGTTATCCTGGTCAACATATAGGATACTTTTTAGCGCGGAAAAAATGTTATTTCTGAGAAAAAATACAAAAACTGCAATGTAAGAGTATACTAATATGTAAAACCTAAGAATTTAGTTTTTGTTCATCTGAACGCGGGCCGAAGCCGCGGGCAATGCTAGTAATATATATATAATTTAAATCTCGAAAACAGCTCCAACAATTTTCATGAAATTTAGTATACTGGTGGTTTCGGGGGCGATAAATCGATCTAGATTAGTCTTATGTCTGAGAAAACGCGTGTTTTCATACAGTTTTCTTTTGCATTATTCCACGCAAAATATGTTCGGTATTTTACACAATCGGGCATAAGCATCGTGGTCAAGCAGCCAAGGTGCAAGATCAACAATCACAGATGTCCAGGTTCGAATCACGGTGGCATACAAAGTTTTTACTTTTGTTTTTTTTTAAATATTTATTAAAGTTTTTAGTTAAAAAAAATGTACTTTAGACCAACTATATAGTACGTACTATTATATTTCTGACTCGGGACTTACACTCGCTTCGCTCGGGTTCGTCCCTAGGTACCTTAATTAATTAATGAGCGGAACCTTAATTCTTTTTCTAAAATAAAAGTAGCCTAAGTTACTCCTTATAACATCAGCTATCTGCCAGTGAAAGTCCCGTCAAAATCAATCCAGCAGTTTCGGAGATTAGTCGGAACATACATACATACAGACAGATAGTGAATCGTCGGACTCAGAAGTTTTGCTGAGACGAGGCCAAGAAAATCACAACAGGTACCCTTTTAAAATAACATTAGTTAACAATATTACAATACAATAATTATGTCCTTACTAATTTTTATTTTTAGGGCAGCGGTAGCCTCGTGGTAACGCTCGTTTAGGAAACCGAGTGAAGCGAGTTCAAATCCCGGGTCTCGTACCTCTGATACTTTCATATGCGAATCATTTTCAACATGATTACCACTTGTCTTACGGTGACGAAAAACATCGTGAGGAAACCTGCAATACTGAGAGATTCTAGCAAAGACAAGACATGTGAAGTTCACCAGCTAGCACTCGGCCAGCGTGGTGGACTACGGCCTGATCCCGCTCGTTTTAAAGGTAAGCCCGTGCCCAGCAGTGGGACGTTACAAAGGGTTAAATATATTTAAATGCCTAGTTTTTTTTGTGTTATCTTTAAAACTAACCTGTAAATGTACATCACGCCTCCCAGTCTTGCCATACGCAGAATTCCTCGTCAGGTACCGTCGTATGTTCTTTAGTACTTCCGTCTCTTTATCCAGCTCTCGTCTATTCGTCTCACGGGGCTCGAAGTAGACGAGCTTAGTTAGAGTGCCACCTATGTCCATACCGAACCAGGGCATTGCTGTGTGGGTGAGAGGGATTGTTTTTTTTTAATTTTATCGATTTTTAATCGTTTAATGTTAGAAACAATGTTTATCGATTTATTACTTCAAACGTTTGCATTGCACTGCTATATACTGTTATATAGGACTATGGCTTTATTAACAAAAAAAAAAGTTAAGTATCACGTGACGTGCACAACAAAAAAAAAACAAAAAAGTAACATGGAGTAGGAACCACCGGTTTTTTTAATATAGTATTTGAACTTGTTGTAACATCTCAGCACTGATTAATATTAAAAAAAATCCTAAGCTAATATTATTTTTAAGTAATTCTTATAACGTATTCATATAAGTATAATAATTGGCAAATCTCTTAAAATATAATGCAATAATCGATTTTTTAAAATACTAACATGATTCCATCTGTTGGCCTTTATATGTAGCGATGCGCTGTCAAAGTGACGTTTTAGTAAGTAAATGACATTTTATAATCGATTAAAATAAGATTTTGAAATATTTTTCGTATGAAAAAATCGATTTTGTCAAATAGTTTATTCGATTTTGAATTTTCAATTACTGTTATTGTTGAAAAAATAATATTATTGACAGTGTCTGATATTAGCGACAGTAATATTAGTAACATAACACTTTTTTTTTTAAATTATTTCACGTTATTTAAATAAAATCGATATGGAATCGATTGTAAATGATATTTTTATATTATTGATCAACTTTTAAAATTAGGCTCTTTTTAATTAAGCCGAATTTACTTGTGTACACATAGATTGTTACGTGTTATCTTCGACAATTGTGAATAAGAAATATTCTAGCGACGTCACCCTCGTCCCTAGGTACGTGATAACGGTTAGTATGGAATAGATAGACTATATATGTTATATATATCATATAGCCATCCTCAATAAACGGGCTATCTAGTGACAAAAAGATTTTTTCAAATCGGCTTAGTAGTTCCTGAGATAAGCGCGTTCAAACAAACAAACAAACCGCTTTATAATATTAGTATGGATTTCTTTTTAAATCTTTGATATTTGGATAAGATATTAAAACTATATGTACTTACGAGGGGCATTATTGTCAGGAGGGGTGGGGGGCGCCGGTTCAACCATTTTGCGTACTTTGTCCAGCGGAGCAGTGTAAGACGACCGTCTCGCTCGCTTCAATTGATTATTCCTAAAGAGGGAAAGAGATAGATAAATAATAATATATTATTAACATTTGAATATCCAATTGAATAGACTGAAAACGAATTATTACTAAAATAAAATAAGGTTTTATTACTTTTGGATAATTTAGCTTTTCAGTTGTGAAAGAATTATCAAAATCGGCATTTTCAACGTTCAACGATTACAAACAAACAATTACAAATAAGAATAAATATGTTGGGACACACAGCACGATCTAGTTCCATGGTAAGCTACGAGGCTTGTGTTATGGATACCAGATAGTTGATACACTACACATATATAACTTTAAATATATACATATTATAAATATAAACACCCATGACAAGAGTACAAACATTCGTGCTTGTCACACAAATAAATTCCCCCAGCGGGACTCGAACCCGCGACCGCTGGCACAGCAAGGAGGGTCACTACAAACTGAGCCAAACGTATTTTTCTTTTACCAAGTATAAAAGTTATTTTACATTTTATTTAACATACATTACATAACATATTATTCAGTATTATTTTCCAATTCATGTGCAATGTATTCTATCTCATTCTCTCGCCGACTTAATCCTATGTATTTATATACTTGTCTCTTTCTAGTGACGCATTTTCGTTACATCGAGTTCAATGCACAACGATTCTAAAGAAGTTTACTTCATTCAATAAGTGGATTTTTTAATTTACATTTTACATATATATACAATGTGCCAGTAATAAAAAACCACAGCAATCATAAATTTAAATAAGAAAGAAGTTAATATTTTACATACAATGATAATTTAATTATTCTTTAAGGTCAGCTTACATTGTTATAATAAAATATATCCTTATATATTTTTTATCTTTATTTTTTCCATTCCATACTCCGTTTATTAAAAAATAAAAACAATGGATGATGATGATATTTTCCCGCGGTTTTTATTTTACTTTTTTTTGTTCCCGACGTTTCGAATGCTTTACAGCAAACACGTTCACGGGAGGGACTAAGGTTTTTGACGTCTGCCCACTAATTTATGAAATGACACCAAAAATATACCTATAATTTTAAAAAGTTTAATAATTAATTCGAATTAGTGTTGCTATAGTTTAACAATTTGTATTTTTTTAATTTGGGTTGCTATTATATATTATGATATCTTAACAAAAATTTTTTTTATTAATTTCAGTTAGAACTAAGCTTTAAAATTGTATAAATTAAGAGTAAACTTTATTCAAATAGAATTTTACAAGCACTTTAATTTGAATCAATTTCTACATTGTTCAATATTTTACATTTAAAAAAATATCAGTATAATAAGTTTATTACGAAACTAGCAAACACGCATATACGCGAATATACACACACACGCACACACGCACACACATACACACACACGCGCGCGCAAAACTTTCGAATTTATAGTGCCACCCTAGTAAGTAATGTTACCCCGTGGGAACCCTAAAACCGTCTCCCGAGAGTTATACAAAAATATGTATGACAGTCCTCCTCACACTCCGCACCATTGTCTAGACGCCTTCGTTAGATTTTACAGGATACTAGCTTCCTTCCCGATACAAACTTTCATCCCCATTTTCACCTCTTCCAGGATGATTTCTGGGATAAAAAGTATCCTATATCTTTCCCAGGGTCTCAAACTATCTTCTTACCAAATTTCATCTAAATCGGTTCAGTAGATCCAGAGATTACTCCCTACAACGTCACAAACCCACAAACTCACAAACTTTACCTCTTTATAATATTAGTATAGATGAATTGATAAGACTACGATATTGGTGATATGTATCTATGTAAATGAAATGAAAAACTTTATTCAAGTATACTTATAAAAGCATTTCTAAATCTATACAGATAAATATAACTGAAGTGTCTGTTTGTAATTACAAAATAACAGCTTTTTACTAAATGCATATAAAATTATATACGGTACTTATAAGAAAAACACAATTTTTAAAATTTCTGTCTATCTGTATGTTTGTTCTGGCTAATATCCGAAACGGCTGGACTGATTTTGACGGGACTATCACTGGCAAATAGCCGATGTTATAAGGAGTAACTTAGGCTACTTTTATTTCAGAATAAGATTTAGGGTCCCGTTGAAAAAATAAAAACAAATATAATTTAAAGAGTTTAGTTTTCTACCTAATGAGAGTGTGTGTGGGCGTAGAGCCGCGCTCGGGCCGACAGGCCGCGAGGCAGCCTTCACAACGGTGCAGGCGCATCTGTAAAGAAAACGAATGCTTATATTAAAAAAAATATCTATTTACCTATCTAAATATTTGCACTAGGCTAGCGTGGTGGAATATGGAATCATCCCCCTCCTATTGAAGGGAGGCCCACCCCCAGCAGTGGGACGTTAAAAAGGGCCGAGTACGAGTAAAAATATATTTCAACATTGTGGGTCCTGGGATCGGGACTAAATAAACTATTTCTTATATAGATAGATAATTTAAAGAATCACCTAGCGACGATCCCGAGCGAAGCAAGGGCATTTATATTATATTATAAATGTGAAAGTTTGTGAGTATGGATGTTTGTTACTCTTTCACGCCAGAACGGCTGAACGGATCTGGATGGAATTTGGCACAGAGATAGACTATAGTCTGGAATAAAACATAGGCTACTTTTTATCCGGGAAAAAATAACAGTTCCCGTAGGATATGTTTGTTTTCTAGTACATTATAATATGTCCTATATAGATTGTTAATCAACATGATTGGTCGTCATGACCGAAACTCGGTCAGTAGGCCAATATAATTACTATTCAAATTTAACAATCTTGATAGGCAAGTAAAGGGTCTAATAATACTATGAAAAACGAAATCAAAGTAGATATCGATTACTGCCTAAATTACTTTTAGGGTGCCGCATATCTATACATATAATAAAATTGTGACTAAGTCGAATCTGTACATTAAATATTTTTTGGAAAATCTAATTGAAATAGACATTATTATCGATACAGAGTCCGAATCTATAGTTTTTAGAATTTTTGTCTGTCTGTCTGTCTGTCTGTCTGTTACCGCATCACGAGAAAACCACTGGACAGATTTTGATAAAATTTGGTACGATGATAGCAAGTTATCCGGGTCAACATATAGGATACTTTTTACCGCAGAAAAATATCTCATTTCTGAGAACAAATACAAAAACTGCAATGTAAGAGTATCCTAATATGTAAAACCTTAGAATTTGGTTTTTGGTCATCTGAACGCGGGCTGAGCCGCGGGCAATACTAGTTTTAAAAATATAAAGTGTATACGCTATAGAAAACGGATAGTTTTGTTATTATTAAAAAAAAACTGATAAACTCCTTTGAATTATTTACGCCGCACTAAGGGTTTATTTTGCTTTTTAGATATCATTTTGGTTTTTTTTTCTATCGAGGAAACTACAAGTAATCGTGTTTCTAAAGTGTACGTACGATTTATAGAATAAATCCTAAAATACCCTATATATATATTAATTGAACAATTAAAGTTTTAGTCATAACAATACAGCAAGGGATCAAACGCTAATTTTTTTTTAAATTTAGTATATTATGTAAACAGCTCGCCAGTGCTGTGATTTTTTTTTATATAAAAAAAAATATTATAAAAAAGATAAGTTGAGGAATTTTTAAAGATATGAGATACTAGCATTGCCCGCGGCTCCGCCCGCGTTCAAATGACCAAAAAACATAATTCTTAGGTTTTACATATTAGGATACCCTTACATTGCAGTTTTTGTATATTTTCTCGCGGTAAAAAGTATCCTATATGTTGACCCGGATAACCAGCTATCACCATACCAAATTTCATCAAAATTCCTCCAGTGGTTTTTCTGTGATGCGGTAACAGACAGACAGATAGATAAAAAATAAAAAAAACTATAGATTCAGCCTTTTTAAAAAAAAAAGATTTTCCAAAAAATATTTAATGTACAGATTCGACTCAGAATATTATTATATGTAGGTATAATAGATATGCGCATGCGCACTCACTAGTAAACACTAGTATATCAAAAACGGATATACTATCATTGTATGTATATCTATTACATAAATATTACGAAAAATCTCTAAATGCATCTCACGTCTCATTCGACGACATTATGTATTCAGCTTAAAAACTATTATTCAACATTGATACTAAGTGAACTACTCAGTGCAATAAAAAAACGGTTGTAAAAATGTATATGAGTGTATTTTTACAAGGTTTTATCAACCGACTTCCAAAAAGGAGGAGGTTCTGAATTCGTCGGAATCTTTTTTTTATGTATGTTTACCGATTACTCGAAGACGCCTGAATCTATTTGGATTTTTTTTGTTTGAAAGGGTGTACTTCCCAGATGGTCCCATATAAATTTTATCGAAATCGGTCGGGCGGTTTTTTTTTTAAATCAAATCAAATAAATATATTTTTCAAATAAATTGTTTAATTTAATAAATAAAATATATGTTGTAAATATGTATGTTGGTACATTAACACACAGCGCCATCTAGTTCCATGGTAAGCTACGAGGCTTGTGTTATGAATACCAGATAGTTGATACACTACACATATATAACTTTAAATACATACATATTATAAATATAAACACCCATGACTGGAGTACAAACGTTCGTGCTCGTCACATAAACAAATGCCCCCAGCGGACTCGAACCCGCGACCGCTGGCACAGCAAGTACTAAGTAAGGGTCACTACAAACTGAGCCAAACGTCTCGTGAAACTCATTGTTTGTTAGTTGGTATGTTTGTTTGGGTCAAATCTTGCAAGCTGAAGGAGAACCACTCCCTCCTATCCTACAGAAATGAGGTTTTATAAATTGGTGCAGTTCTGATGAAAATTGCTATTTTTCATAATTATGACCTAATTCTCCATCTAGAATTGGCTGCAGAGGTAGCAACTCCTCAACTTTACGTGTGCATTTAATTATTACAGCCCGTTTCTAAAGTCCACCATGACTTGGCTGCTGTCTCCGAGAATAAATCTCAACATACTAACTCTTAAAGTACAAAGTTTCTTATTAATTTTGCGCAGAAAAATTTCGGTATAAGCTTTTACATCAGTAGGTACCGAGCATACCTCGGCGTTTCTTTTATGTAAAATTTGTTTATTTTTACCCGACTGCGCGACACAAGGGAGGGTAATGTGTTTATCAGTCTATGTATCTTTACATTGTATAAAATGAAGTCGCTTCCGCTGTCTGTTCGCTTAGATCTTTTAAACTACTCAATGGATATTAATGGAGTTTTCAGGAACAGGTAGAGTGATTCAAGAGAAAGGTTTATATGTATAATACATGCATATTATAGTACAAAAAAGCCGAGCAATTCAAAGATTTGTATTTCATACTAACCGTTAAAAAGTATTTATAAATAAGCCCAATAATAAATGTATTTCTTTATATATATATATATATATATATATATATATATATATATATATATATATATATATATATATATATATATATAAGGAAGTCGAGTTAGTTACACTATTTATAACTCAAGAACGGCTGAACCGATTTGGCTGAAAATTGGTGGGGAGGTAGCTCAGAACCAGGAGACGGACATAGGATACTTTTTATCCCGTTCGACCGCGTTCCCGTCTGACGTGACATAAAACTCAAGAATGGGTGGAACAATTTTTATGATATTTGAATTTTTGGATTTCTCTTAGTCTGGAATAGGTTAATAAGTATTAAAACACCAGAAAAATCACGAAAAAAAATTAAGATTTATATGATTAACGCTGGCTAATAACTATTTATATCTATTTAAATCCGAAGCGAGGGTGAGCCGCTAGTATAATATAAGCAAAACCTTATCTAAATACAAAGTTTAATCGAAGTCGTTTGAGCCGTTTTCGAGATACGAAATTTTTATTTGTATGTATACATACAAGAATTTATCATTTAATATTATAAGATATAGATTTGTGTAATGTAACAAATTGATAGATTTGATTTTCAAGCTTTATTTTATTCTTTATAGCGCATTTAAATAAAACTTATTTAAAAAAAAAATTATTCATTATTTACAACGTGATAACATCGTAAAAAACATATAATCTTGGGAATGTTTTAATTAATTAAAAAAATATATATACAGATAATACAGAGCGGTTCAAACGCCGCCATGTTCGCGCGTTCGAATTGACGTTAAATGTCATGCTCATGTCATCGATTTTAAAGATAATTTGCTATTATATCAAACAAACGAACGAACAAACAAACAAACAAACAAATACACGTTCGCAAACGTATTACTGTCAATGTAGTAAGAATACCTTGAAGTTGTGACTTTATATTACTATGCATTTATTAAACAAATATAGACTCTATTATAAACGGGTAAAGTTGATAATTGATTAAGACAACACTGTCATATTTGCACAGCCAAGGTTCTACAGAAGCAGGTTTTTTTATATAAATAATGCAAAAAGAACGGGATTATTACACTTTTGACAATGTGATATATGGTGAAGGTATACTTGACCTACATCCAAACCAATACTATAAATGCGAAAGTAACAGTGTGTCTGTCTGTTTGTTTGTTTGTTACGTTTAAACCTAAACTGCTGAACCATATCGGAGAAAGGCATAAGCATCGAACTTTAGAAAGAAACAAATACTTCAAACAATGTGAAATAGAAAATGAAATGTGTATAGAAAGATGTTCGTTGTTTGAAATTGTATGTATTCAGCCCTTTTTAACGTCCCACTGCTGGAAGTGGGCCTCCCTTCAATATGAGGGGGATCAGGCCATAGTCCACCACACTGGCCAAGTGCGGGCGGACTGATCATGTCTTTCAAAAACTTTCTAGGTTCTCTCAGACACGCAGGTTTCCTCACGATGTTTTCCTTCACCGTAAGGCAAGTGGTAATCATGTTAGAAATAATTCGCACATGAAAAATATCAGAGATGTGAGACCCGGGATTTGAACTCGCTTCACTCGGTTTCCCAAGCGAGCGCGTTACCACTGGGCTACCACTGCCTGCTTGAAATTACTCAAATAAAATTGATATTAAAATTTAAAGATATCGGTACTCAGACAAGAAATTATATATAACTAGCGACTCACCATCGCTTCGCTCGGGTTCGTCTCTAGGTTGATTCTCCATACAAACTTTCATCCCCACTCTCACCCCTTTAAGGGATGATTACCGCGATAAAAAGTATCCTATGTCCTTTCCAGGATCTAAAACTATCTGTTTACCAAATCTATACATATAATA